GTAGCTACCCATAGATTAATGTTTGCTGTAACTGGTAATGTAGTATATTGTGTATGCAATAGTATTTCCCTCTCATGCACTCTCTATGTCTTCCCTTTCCTTAGTAATATTGTGCTACTTACACACTTTTGTTATATTGCTTTTTCCTTCACTCATATCAAAATTTTCTCTTAACCATCCATTTTTTCCCCTTCCTTTCTCCTCCCCTCTCATCCCTGGAGATCAAGAAAGAATTTTCTTCCTTCTTTTAACCTTAGGGAGGTCTGGTGGTTCAATGCCTAAGGCATTTGACTGCGAACCAGAAGGCTGGCAGTTCAAAACCACAAGCCACTCCTCAGATGGAAGGTTGGGCAATCTACTTTCGTAGTGATACTGCCTCAGAAAGCCAAAGAGGGGTCTCTATGAATAAGGTCCAACTCGAGGCCAGTGAGTTTGGTTTGTTTTTTTGGTTTGTGTTTACCTTTCTTTGACGTTTTATAATAATGAGCTTATTTCACTCAGCATAATGTCCTCCAAGTTCATCCACATTATAAGATAATTTGCTGATTCTTCATTATTCTTTAACATTGAATAATATTACATTGGGTGTATGTATGATAGTTTGGTTATTCATTCATTTATTGATGGACACTTGGGTTGTTTCCATCTTTCTGCCTGTTGTAAATAGTCCTATAATGAACATGGAAGCTCTGGTGACAGAGTGCCTAAGGCATTTGACTGCTAACCAGAAGGCTGGTGGTTCAAACCCACCAATCACTCCTTGGAAGGAAGATTGGGCAACCTACTTCCGTAGTGATACTGCCTTGGAAACCCAAGGAGGGGTATTATGATTTGCAATTGATTTGACGGCAGTGAGTTTCATTTTGGTTTGGTGCATATATCTAATTGTGTCTTGGACCTCACTTCTTTAGGATGTGTTCCTTATAGTTAGATTGCTTGATGAGATGATATTTATATTTCTAACTTTCACTAATGTTATTTCCATCACTCATCTATCAATCCGTGGTATTATAGGGGCTGGCTGTGATGCTGGAAGCTATGTCATTAGTATCTCAAATATTAGCAGGGCTACCACTGGTGGACAGGTTTCAACAGACAACGGCAGACTAGGAAGAAGGAAGTGGCCAAGTCCACTTCAGGGATGGGGCAAATGGTCACTGAAAACCTTAAGAATAGCAGGGAAACATTGTCTCATACAGTGCCAGAAGATGAGTCCTTCACTTTGGAAGGCATTCAAAATACGAATAAGGAAGTGCTGCCTCCTCAAAGTAGGGTGGACTGTAGTGTAGCGGATGGAATAATGTTTTCTGGACCTTCACTTACTGACAAGGCATGACTCAAAATGAGAAGAAATACCAGCAAACATCAATTAATATTTGAAACATGGAATTGTGGAGTTTGAATCTAGGAAGATTGGAAGTTGTTTAAAAAAGAAAGAAAGAAAGAAAGACAGGAAGACATTGACCACATATAGATCAATGCCCTAGGCCTTAGTGAGCTGAAATGGATTGATTTTGGGCATTTTGATTTGGACGGACATATTGTCTATTATGCCATCAATGATAATTTAAAGAAGAATAGGGTCACATTCATCATCAAAAAGAACATTTCAAGATTTATCCTGAAGTACAACACTGTCATTGATAATATCCATACACCTATTTGAAGACCAGTTAATATGACTATTATTCAAATTTATGCACCAAGCATTAAAGACAAAGATGAAAAACATTGAATAATTTTACCAATTTCTGAAGTCTGAAATTAACTAAACATGCAATCAAGATGTATTGATGATTGCTTATAATTGAAAAGTGAAAGTTGAAAACAAAGAAGCATTGGTAGTTGGAAAATATGCCCTTGGTGATAGAAATGACACTGATAGAACTTTGCATACCCAACAACTTTTTCATTACAAATATCTTTGTTGAAGGAACAGAGAAGCCATCTTGCTGAGAAATTATAGAAGTATAACAAGCTAAAATCTATGATTAGGGTAGACTTTAATCATGAGATTAATTTTCTATCTTTCTTTTCCATCTCCTTCCTTCTTTATAAATATCGTAGCCATTCTAGGTTGTTTACTTTCTTTACACATCCCTTTGAGTATGTGATGTAAACCCACTGTCCATTCTTAGCTGATACCTATGGTTTATGGAGTGAGATGCCCTGAGAAAAGAAACACCAAACAACCACAATAAAGAAGAAACAGGGGCATCCCTAGCCAAGAGGACTGAGTGTCTCCACTCCCACATTTTTCCCCTCCTCTAGAGTCAATCTTTCCAGACAAGTAAGAAGAGTTTAGAAAACAATTCTGACTAAGGCAAGTTTTACACCACTAACCAGAGTGACAGAAAGTTCATAAGGAAGGAATGATTCATATTGATAACAAGGAGAAAACATTAAAAGCATTCCTCAAGCCCTTCTACCCCTCAAATGAATTCCCTTTAGAAACCCTAAGCTTTCCTTAGACTGGGGAGACAGCCTAATTGTTTCAGAGAAACAATTCTCTCTGTCTCCTTAGATATCTATACTCAATAAATTATTTTTCTGCTTCAACCTGTTGTGATAATTGGCTCTACACAACAGGGGGTAAGGACCTTGCTGTTCCTACAACACCTTTTTTAAGCAACATAAACAAAGATTCTACATATGGATCTTACTATGTGGAATACCCAGATATAAAATCAACTACATCTATGGACAGAGATGGTGGAGAAAACAAATGTCAGAAGTAAGGCTGGGGTTGACTATGGAAATATCATCAATTGATCACATGCAAGTTTCAGTTGAAGGTGAAGAAAATTAAAGCAAGTCCGTAAGAGCCAACATATAACCTTGAATATATCCCACTTGAATTTAGAGACCATGTGAAGAAGCATCTGATGTACTGAACATCAGTGATCAAAGTCAAGATGAATTGTGAGATGATATCAAGCATCATACATGAAGAAAGCAAAAGACCATTAAGAAAACAAGAAAAGAAGAGAAGACCAAAATGTATGTCAGAAGAGACTTGGACACTTCCTATTGAATGGAGAGTACCTAAAGCAAATGGGAAAAAAAAAAAAAATGAAGTAAAAGATCTGAACAGAAGATCTTAAGGGCAGCTCGAGAGGACAATGTAAATTATTTTAATGAAATGTGCAGATATTTGAAGTTGGAAAATCAAAAGTGAAGAAAATGATCTGCATTTCTGCAGCTGAAATAACTGAAGAAAAATACAAGCTTCAAGTTGCAATATTGAAAGATTTCATGGGGAAAATATTATCAATGCAGGAAGCAACAAGAGAAGGTTAATGGAATACACAGAATTGCTGTACCAAAAATAATTGGTTATCATTCAACCATTTCAGGAAGCAGTGTATGATCAAAAACCAATGGTCTTGAAGGAAGAAGTTGTAGGGACATGGAAGCAAATGGTGAAAAACAAGGCTCTAGGAATTGATGGAATACCCAATGAGATATTTCAACAAATAGATGAGGAGCTGGAAAAACTCACTCATTATGTCAGTGAATTTAGAAGACAGCTACCAGGTTAACCAACTGGAAGAGATCCATTTTTTTGCCCATTCCAGAGAAAGTTGATCCAACAGAATGCATAAATTATTTAACCACAAAGGTTGATATGTACAGTATTAATCACAAAGATTAGTATGTACTATAATGTAGTGTCCCGTGCCAAAAAGCTGTTTAGAAATACATCAGATACTATGATTTCTTTGTGGTTTAAAGACATATTTTTTAATATAATTTGTTTTCTTTTTGTTGTTTATGAAGATATACACAGCAGAGAATATACCAATTCAAAATTTCCACATGTACAATTCAAAGACATTGTTTATATTCTTTATGTTATGAAACACTCTTACCCTCATTTTACTCATTGTTCCTTCCCCATTAACATAAACTCACTAATCCCCAAGTGCTCTATCTCATGTTTTGAGTTACTGTTATCAATTTGATCCCATATGCATACTTCAAAGAACTATCAATTCTTATGTTGTTACATAAATTTATATTCTGCTCTCCCCAATGACATTTATTTCAGACTTAGGCATAAAAGAGATGATCCCTGCAATTAAATACATATGTTCTGTTTCTTTTTGGAATTTCTAAATACTTTTTTTTTTAACTTTTATATATTTTCAAGATGGTAAATCTATGTGAATAAAGTCCCATCAATCATATCAGTATCCAAACGAAACAATGAGAAATAATTTATTATAGAATTTCTACAGAATATCTATTTGTTGTTGTTTTTGTTGTTATGTGCCGTCAAGTCAGCCCTGACTCATAGCGAACCCTCCTTGGGTTTCCGAGGCAGTATCAATACGGAAGTAGGATTGCCCAACCTTCCTTCCGAGGAGTGGCTTGTGGGTTTGAACCGCCAGCCTTCTGGTTAGCAGTCAAGTGCCTTAGGCACTATGCTCCCAAACTACATAAAAAAAGAAAGAAAAAAAGCCTCTGATTCAGAAACATGGAATTCTTCACAAACAAACTAGTGATAAAATGGAATGGCTGATGTTTATACATTGATTGATATCAATCTGTAGGTGTCAAAGCAGAAGTTGGATACCTAATTCAGAATATATTATAGACAGAATTCAAGATCCTAGAGAACTAGTTGTATTTTGTTTATGAATTCTCATAACTTTGCATATGTGTGATGGTATAAATATCTTTCTTATCAAATCAAACAGTACAGATTCAGAATTATGATGTACACTTCATGGTGAGCAATGCTAGAATTGAGGTCTCAGTAGATTAAGTCAGGCTGATGTTAGCTAGGTACATAATTATCCTAATAATTCTGACAGTGTATCTAGCTCTGACATAAGAAAATGATACTAGACATTTATTTTTCCTATAAACTAGAAAAAGTTATTAATCCATCTCCTTTGATATAATTGGATGTTATAAAATGAGAAACATCATCATTTTAAATGTCTTTATAGATTCAGTCCTGTTACCGAATATATCATCATACACTCTTCTCATCATTTGCCTTCTGAGGTAATTTTGACCAACCATAACTTTCTCATGGCATTTTTCACTTCTGTATTCCTTAGTGTGTAGATGAGTGGGTTGAGAAAAGGTGTTGCAATGGTATAAAATACTGCCACCATCTTGTCCATGGGGAGGGTGGTTGGTGGACGTGTATATGTGAATGTACATGGACCAAAGCATAAGATAACTACAATGATGTGAGAGGTGCAAGTGGAAAGGGCTTTTCTCCTCCCAGCTGCACTGTGATTTCTCAGTGAACGCAAGATAATAAAGTATGAGATCATCAGAAGCACAAAGCTACTTGAGCAAATGGCCCCACTATTGGCCACCAACTGTAGGTTGATCGTATAAGTATCCATACAGGCAAGTTTTAATAAGGGCTGCAAATCACAGCAATAATGATCAATCAAATTGGGTCCACAGAAGGGCAGTGTCAAGACCAGGGCAATCTGGGCTATGGAATGTATCAAAGACCCAATCCAGGCCAGAGTAATCAAGATGATGCACACCTGTTGTCTCATAATGGTTGGGTAACGCAAGGGCTTACAGATGGCCACATAGCGATCAACAGCCATGAGGATGAGGACAAAGATCTCCAAGCAGCCAAAGAAATGCAGTGCAAAGACTTGAGTCATGCAGTCATTGTAGGATATGACTTTCTTTGTAGAGAGAGTGTCCACAATTAATCTAGGGGCTGTGGAAGTTGAAAAGCAGGTGTCAGCAAAGGACAAATAAGAAAGGAAGAAGTACATGGGACTCCCAAGGGTCCGGCTGAACTTGATGGTCACAATAATGAGCAAATTTCTCACCACAGTTCCAGTGTAGAAAATTAAGAAGATTACGAACACTATTTTCTGCCTCAAAGGATCACTTGTCAATCCTAGGAATATGAACTCAGTTACACTCTTGTTTTGATACATTGTTTCAGGAGATGTGGAGAAAGTAGAGGTTAGGAAGAGTTAATCTGCAAGGAGAAAAACAATCATTTTATGAGATGAATACTGCATTTGGAGCTCAAATACATACGCCTGATCATTGAACTTCCATTACCAATGGATAATAATTTAGCTTCCCATGTGTTAATTTTTTATGATTTTTTTATGAATAATTGAAATTTATAATACTTATCTATTTAACTTATTGCACACAAGATTGTAATAGGAAAATAATGAAAAAAATAAATAAATAACTGCCTTATCATATAAAACAAACCTGACATCAGGGATTTGGCATGAGTGGATATTTTATTGAGCTGAATATGTTTCATTAGTTTTCAGAAAGCACCTATCAATATTAGAAGCAGTGTATCGCAAGACAGAAAAAAATTGTGTGTAACTTACTTGAAATTGCTGTCATAGTTCTTGAATCTGGTAGTCCAGTGATATCAAACCATGTTGCCAAAAGTTACATTCTTCACCTCATTCATTATTGTTCTGGTTCTTTTAATGAGATAGATTGATGTAGTAGCTGAAACAATGGTCTCAAACATAACAAAGATTGTGAAGATGGCACAGGACCGGGCAATATATTTTTCTCTTATACATATGGTTGCTATGAATGGGACCAATTCCATGGCACCTAACAAAAACAGCATATGACAGAGACTAAAGAAACTGTTTTATGCAAATCGTTACATTTATTCCCCAAATAATAGCATGATCAAAATAAACATAATTGCCAAAGTAGTAAAATATATTTATAACACATATGATAGGAATAAGTTTTCCAAACAAATGGATTTTACCATTCCATCTTAAAAAAAAAAAAAAAAAAAAAAAAAATCACAACTGCATAATGGGCAAAAGAACCAATTGGAAGAGATCTTTTCCTTTTTTTTAAAAAAAAGTAATAAACATCAAAATATGCTTATTTTCTTTATAGTTAAGGACACTGAAATTAAATTCCAACTAGATATCTGTTTTACCTATTAGATCAGTAAATGTTTTTTTTTTTTTTCCACATAAACTTTTATTAACATACAGAGATAGTAAGTGTGGAAAACCATCACCCGCATACATTTTTGATAGCCGTTACAGTGAGTGCAATCTCTTATCAAGTCTTTTTCAAAATCTATAATTTAATACTGTATCAGCTACTGGTTCAATTTCCTGTAAATACACTTACACGCATAAAGGCAATCCTTGCAGCTGTTCTGTTAAAAAGATAAGAAACAATTTAAATATCCATCAGAAGGTCACTGAATAAACCAAGTATTGTACTTTTCTACAATCATTAATATAAACAAAGCATATACATATATTAATTAAAAAGGCCAAAAGATATAAGCATATGTTTAGAATATTTCCATTCAAATCAGGAAAATGCACATCAATATGGAAACTTTTATATAAATGGAATGTATTTAGAAAGATGGAAAGAAAATCATATTATTTGTACTCAATCTCTGGTGAGAGAAATTGCTTTCTACTTCAGAGATGGAGGAAAAACTACTTTTAGAGATGCATTTGTTGATAACATTCTAAAAAATGTCTTGAACATGCTTTGCTAAAGAAGAAAGATTTAAAATATCTTATCAGGGGAGATAATCTGATTAATTTACTTACCACCCCACTTAGCTTTCAAACTGTCTTCTGTTGTAGGCAGGAGGGACTACCATATTCTTAAGGCAATGCTAAATTCCCGGCATTTGAGCAAGCTAATGAGTCATCTGTGGAGGCATTTAGGAAGGTCAGTGCTCTTGAACCACACCATACACCAGTGCACAGCCATGGAACTCCAGGCTCACTTGTATTGTTGGAAATTTTCCAAATGCCCTCTTCTTTCAAACTCTTCGATACAGAAATGTAAAAATTGTTTGCAGTTTCTATCAACTTGACAGTGTAAATGTGTATGTGTCTTTGTGTCTTTCACCATAACACATAACATATATGTGTTATGTATATTCTACTATATGTTTTATGGGAACTCTGGTGGCATAGTGCCTAAGATATTTGACTGCTAACTAGTAGGCTGGTGGTTCAAACCCACCAGCCACTACATCACTTCCCTAGTGATACTGCCTCCGAAACCCAAGGAGGGATCCCTATGAGGTGGATCCGACTCGAGGGGAGTGCATGCATATATATTATATACATAACGGAATATGTGTATTTCTGTCTTGTGGTTGTTAAGTTGCCTCTGAGTCATAAGCCCACTATCCTCAAGTTGAATCCAACTTATAATGACACTTGTTGTTGTTGTTGTTGTTATGTGCCGTCGAGTGGACCCCGACTCATAGCGACCCCTCCTTGGGTTTCCGAGGCAGTATCACTACAGAAGTAGATTGCCCAACCTTCCTTCCGAGGAGTGGCTGGTGGGTTTGAACTGCCAGCTTTCTGGTTAGCAGTTAAGTGCCTTAGCCACTATGCTACCAGAGCTCCATATAATGACACTATAGAACAGAATAGAATTGTCCCATAGGACAATCTATGGGACAAAGCTGTAAATCTTCACAGAAGTGGATTGACTCCTTTTCTCCACAAGATGTTTTCATTAGCAGCTGGGTGCTTTAACAACTGCAACCCCATAGCTCCTTTTCTGACTCATATCAGCCCAATATGACAGAGTATAAATACTGGGTTTCATAGGGTGTTATGTTTATGGGTGCAGATCACTGGGTTCTTTCTACCACAAAGTGCCTGGATATGCTTAAAGTGTCAACATTTCAGTTAGTAGTCAAACACAGAACCATGCACAACCAGAACTCCTTACATGTCTGTATGTATGTGTGTAAATAAATATAATTACTATGGGTGGCACAAAGGATTAAGTGCTGGACTATTAACTAAAAGGCTGGGTGTTGGAACCCACCCAGAGGCACCTTAGAGGACAGGCCTGGTGTTCTGCTTCTGAAAGGAAATATCCTTAAAAACCCTATGAAACACTGTTACACTCCATACTCATGGAATCACCATGAATGAGATTTAAAACAAGGACAACTAGCAACAAGAACATATAACTACACACACATATACAGAAACACGTACACACATATTCTATAACATGCATTTCATAATTGCTGCACCTAAGAATGATATACAATAAGAATGACATACATTCAGAGAAAAGTAAACTAAGAATAGGGGTACTTGTGTGCTCACAGCTGCATTTCAACATTGAAAAGAGTTGAGCGACTAATGAATATTGGTTGAATGTTTAAAAGAATCAAGAAAGACTTAGCATAAGTACAATTCTGTATGTTTCCACATTAGTCTTGAGGAGATGTAACCCCTGTAGCCAAATTTAACCATGGCAAAATTACCACCTTCCTGATGCTTTTCTGGAACACTCAAACAGAAATTATTTCTATTAGCTTATCTCCATCATCCCCACCCACCAACAGCCCTTACCTTGTAGTGTTCAACAGTCAGTGTGTGTCTTTTTTTCCACACCAAGTATTTTACTATCTTCCACTAAATACTTATATTTTTAAATTATTTTTCATTAAACACAAAATGTGTCAGTTAAATAGACAAATCCATGTCATCTTTTATTTTTGGCTCTGAAACAAACAAAAGACACCAAACTCACTGCCATCGAGTCAGATCCTACTCATAGTGACTGTTCCTTGTGTTTCCAAGGCAGTATCACTACAGAAATAGATTGCTCAACCTTCCTTCCAAGGAGTGGCTGGTGGGTTTGAACCACCAGCCTTCTGATGCCTTAGGCACTAGGCCACCAGAGAGTCCTAATGCTTTCTATCCTTCCACAAACATCTCCTTTTCATGTTTGTGATGACATTGAACATATTTGCTTTCTCTAAATATTAAACACAAGTAACTCATTCTTCAATAAAAATCTTACCAGCTTTTCTACAAAGGTTAGGATGTTCCCTTACTCTCATTCTTCCCAGGGTCATTTGGAAACCACATATTCTAATGAAAAAAAAATAATAAAATGTCTAAAATTATCTTTGATCTCACAACAAACACTTACTTCTCCACCTGCCTATGAGAAGGCAATCTAAATTGGTTGCGATTTCATCCCACATGCCTGAGTATCTAACCTTATACAAGATGTTGACAGTGTAATGTTCCCCTTTTTCTTCCCTGGAGCAGTTTTTTTAAGATGAATCATGAAAAATACAGGTGTCTGGGGAAGATCATTCCCCAAAGTGTCCTTTTCCTGCCAATTAAGAAATATGAGCCACCTATGACAAAGAGCTAATCTTCACTTTGTGTTCTTTAATTGTTAGGTAAGGAGATATGGAGTACTCTTGTATTAATGGTATTAATCTGGGTCAGAGCTAACATTTTTTTAAAACTTTTTTTTGTTGTTGTTGTAGGTGAAAGTTTACAGAGCAAATTGATTTTCCATTCAACAATTCATATACATGTTATTTCATGACATTGACTGCAATCCTCACAATGCAACAGCACTCTTTAAACTTCCTCCCTGTGGTTACCATTTCCCTTTCCCCTTCTTTTCTATCCATTCCTAACATCTGAGCTTTATCCATGGGGAAACTCAAATGTTCTAAGGAGTTCATACTTTCCTGGTTTTATTGTTCACTTCATAGGTCTCTCTTTTTTTTTTTTTTTTTGGTTAAATGTTGAGCCCAGGACTGAGTTCAGTTCCAGACTTGAAGGGTGACTATGGGCCATAGTCTCAGGGGTTCTACCAGTCTATATCAGACCAGGAAGTTTGTTTTTCATTACTTTAAATTTTGTTCCTCAATTTTGCCCCACCCTATCCAGGATCACCTACGTAATACCTTTAGGAGTGATTAACACTGGTAGCTGGGCATCATCTTCTGGTCTCAGGCTCCTGCAGGCTGAGGTTCAGATGGTCCACCAGTCCCTTGGACTATACCCATGTCTTCTTTCACTTTTATTTGCTCGGCATGGGGAGAAACCAGTAACTGCACCATAGATAGCTGCTCACAACATTTTGAGACCCCAGTCACTACTCACAAAAATAG